TTCTTATAAATTTGCTCAAATTTTGTTCCTGTTTTAAATAATTTTCTTTAGATAACACCATTGGAAGATGATTATGAAGTGAACTGGACCAAAAAACTAGGATCTGGAATTAGTGGACCAGTGAGGTACTGAAAAGAAATTATCAAAGGATCTATACATATTTTACAACATGAGGAGGATCCACAGGAAGCCCAAGTATTGGGAAAAAGCAAATTTTGGTCACCATGAATTGCCAATACCATAACCTTTATAATGCAGCAGCCATATTGACTAAAAATAGATGCATCACAGGCYTTGCATTCAAGCGCTTCAGGGTGAGGATATGTGTGGTTAAACGAAAGGTTTTTATTCTCATGAGAGAAAACATGGCGCGGGATTATAGTCTATTACAGGTTATGTTCACTTGGTGAAACTTGTTGCATGCAAGTGGACATTGCAGAGGTCCATGCCAGGCACAAAGTGCACTTGATATTGTTTGTATCAGTTGTACCATGCGACCAGGCCTTTATAGTTATTTTCTTTTAATTTTTTATAGGGAGTGTACGAGTAAACGCACTGGAGTAAAATATGCTTTAAAATGTTTAATGGATAATCCAAAATCAAAGTCTGAGGTACATGTACTCATTAGAAATAAAGAGAAGCTAAAATCCTGTCTGCCTGATTGACTTACTGTCTGGCTGTYTGTCTATTTGTCTGACTGAATGGACTGACTGACTTGAGGACTGACTGACTGACAGATAGAATGATTGACTGACTATATGACTCACCCACTCACTCACTSACTGAYATGAATGAATGACTGTCTGACTACTTTTCTTTCTTCACAGGCAAGGTGCCATTATATGTGCTCAGGTCATTCCAACATTGTGACTGCCATTGATGTGTATGCCAATAAGATTGTCCTTCCTGGCGAGATGAAACCTTCGTAAGTCATCTAGATGACATCTTTTTTTAAAGCGGGGGATAATTGAACTATATCCCTTGTCACTGATTTGTGTTCTAACTGCCACYCGGTTAGCTCAGTTGGTAAGAGCGTAGTTTGTTGTGCAGGGGGTCATGGTTCAAGCCTCAGCTGGACCAACGCTCAGGGTCTTAAAATAAGGGAAGGTACTGCCTTTGTAATTACATCTGCAAATGGTTAGACCTTCACGTGGCTCGGATGATGGCGTTAATTGTGGTCCCGTCCCTAATTAACTAAATATGTTTATATTTTTTATTTATCTAAGCATGAAATTGTTGTTTTTTTTCAGACCAAGAATTTTGATGGTTCTAGAACTAATGGAAGGAGGAGAGTTATTTGAACAAATAAGGACAAGAAGAAAGTTTACAGAGAAAGAGGCCATGATACTTACTTCAGAGGTACCAATAGTGTGGATAAAATTTGTAAATGCCTTAAAAGAAAGCCATATTATAAAATACTGTGGTTCATACCCCAGTAAGACTTTACCATTCAGAGTCTGCTTTTTGATTACCCCATAGTAAATCACCTCTTTTATTAGGTTAGGTTTTGTCTAATTGTTTGGATGACCAATTTATTGTTATTATACAGTACCAACACTATAACAAGGGCCACTTAGACAGTGGAAACTAATCAAATTGTAGAATAAAAACAACACATTCCAATTTTGGATAGTGGAGCCTATCAGAAAGCAGCAGACAACAATAGCCTTTCAACATATCTTTTATTCCCACAAGAAAATGACGATGGCTATCTAGTTGTTAACACCTAACATCAAGGTCAAATTAAAATTCTTGTGCAGTCTAGGTTTCTGCATTTTAATTGGTTCTCTTGCCTAACTGGTCTAATAAGCCTTTTCATAGTTTAAGAATCGATTCCACTGCGCATGCGATTTTATCCCGAGTTTCTCACCTTCTTTGTCTAAACCTTCTTTTGTTCTTAATTAAACAAAAGAAGGYGAGAAATTCGGGATAAAATCGCATGCGCAGTGGAATCGATTCTTGAACTATGAAAAGGCTTATTGACCCAGGTTGCGGTAATTGCACTGTAATCCCATGTATTGTTTTTTAAACTGATCATCATGAAWCTTGTTGAAAACAGCAAAGAACACCCCCTTCACTTCAAGTTCTCTATTCTTACAGATAACACAAGCTCTTTACCACTGTCACTCATTCAATGTTGCTCACCGAGATCTAAAACCAGAAAACCTACTGCTTGTTAGCAGGGATGAGGTATGTTTGATGCCCATTGCAACTTCTTAATTATACTTTAATAGACCTTATCACACAGTAACCATATCATGTTTATTCTCATGAGAATAAAAACCTTTATTTAACCTGCATAAATTCATTCTCAAGCACTTGAATGTGAGGACCGGGGGGGGTACTCTTGCCTGTTTAGAGTAGGGATGTGCCGCTGAGCCCTCTGAACCCTGACCCTGTTCCAGAGTAAAATCGCTGAAATTCATACCTTGTTCCAGAGCAAGATCGCTGAAAACCATACCCTGTTCCAGTATTGCGAAAATAGATACCCTGTTCCAGAGGGGAGAGAGCATGATTTCATATACCCTGTCCCAGAGTGAGCGCGATTTTATATACCCTGTTCCAGAGTAGAATTGCTGAAAACCATACCCTGTTTGGTGGCATGTACCCGTATAGTGAATATAGGGGAGTACCCCCCTGGGATGTGAGGCAACACACTGTGGAATCTGCCATTCAAACCAACATGGCTACTGCAAAAAAAAAGGGCCTGTTAGGGTGTACCTGGTCAAAGGAGCAGATTGGGTAGGGGTAAGGACTAGTGGGCATTGGTACCCCTTTTGTGTTTTGGCCACAAAGTATGCATAATTTGGGTATTGTATGGTAAGGCTTACTATTTTCTACCAATCAAATTTAACTCTAGTCACGTTTACAAAGGGAGTTCATTTCACCTGAAATGGGTCAGTCAAGAATACTCAAAACATTCATCACATATGACCACTAATAGGCTGCAGTTTTGTCTGATTTGTATTAGGTATTAGCCCGGGGGGGGGGGGG